ACACACACAAAGGGTATCCAAGAATCAAGATTTCACGTAGTGAAATCCGTGGTAAGATAAGCTCTTCTTTTGTTGTTGTTTTATTTTGGCACCGGAAGCACACAAACACCCCACGGCAATGAAGGAATTGCTCAAACGTCATCGTAGCTACAGACTTTGAAGAAGGGGTGTTTCGTGAGGAACGAGAACACGCGGGGAGTATTAGTCGATGGAGATACGGCGGTGGCATGCCGTACCTACCTGAGCACCTGCCACTTATTTCTTCCCGTTTCGTTCTTCCTTTTTTCTTCCGTTCTTTCTCATTCACTCTCTCTCTCTCCTTCTTCTCCTTCTTTTCCGTCTTCATCTTCTTCTTGCTCTTCACTCTTCTTTCCTCTTCCATTCCTTCGCTCGCTCACTTTCTCGTCTCGCATTAAACGTCGCTCGTCTCCGGTCGACCGGCTACCGACTGAAATGAAAGAGCAAGTGTTTGACGAGGAATCTCCGCTTTCTATGCTAGTAACTTGCAAATTTAAACTTTTAAATTTGATCGGCTGATAATAAACAAAGGTGAAAGAGGAGTGAGTATAGTGAATACTTTCTTCTTTCTCGCAGGATTGACAAAATCGGCTAATGGGCAAACTTTTATTATAGGAATCCTAAATAATAGCATGCACGGTACATCTAACAAAAATAATTGTAAAACATTTCATTAGATGGCAGTACCTCTTAAAAATATTATCAACGATACCCCAATACGCCTCACGTCCTTATTATGCTCCAGAGGAGGAGTTCCTAATAATGAAATCTTTGATTTATAATATAAATTTTCCTCTTTCTCTATAGAAAGATAGATTATAATTCATAGGATCTAAATAAGAGAGAGAGAGAGAGAGAGAATTTGACATAATTAGCGCCCTTACCTGAAGATAACGAGATTCGAGTTACCACTTATGTGTTCGGTTTATCAGTATGTCACCCGCTTAATTACGAAAGCCAAAACAGTGTAAACAGTCGGTCTCCTAGAAGGCCGTGAACCTCGTCAAAGACCGCGCGGCATCTGTTATGCGTTCCACGCGGCTTATCTAAATTGTTTTGGCGCCCTTTGGGCTCCATTAAGTCCGCAAGATTGAAATAATCAGATTGGACGAGTTTGTGCCCAATTATACGCGTGCCGCAGCCGTAAGTCCTGGGGCTCACGAGGGTTAAAAGTAGACGTGGGCGGGACGGGGCCTAATTCAGAGGCCTGCGGCTCCCACCTGGCCACGTTTTCTCATTATTACTCGAACCGGGCCTATGCGCTCGCTGCCGCTTCATGCTTGTGCCTGTAACCCATAAAAGAAACATTATCCGGATGAGGTTGCGTTCGGAATTTTCTCTCGGAACTTGTATACAAAGGAAAGAGGGGAACAAGTACTTTCTTGCACACCCTAATTTTGTACATATTTGCGCAGATATTGTTTTGTGGGCATAACAGCCTCTCGTAAAAATATGTTCCGAACATTCGAGATTATAAGGAGCAAGAGCATAATTGAAAGGATACTGTTGGGAAGATATTGTACTATTTTTACCGAAAATGTAATAATTATTCTTGACAATATCTTTTTTTTTAGCAAAAAATTATAAGTAATACAAAGAAGTCTAATATTCAAAAAAGGTTAATATTTTTCTATCATGTAGCATGTGTCTAAACAAAAAATGATGCATAAAAAATTAGTATTCGCTTAAAAATAATTAACCCAAATTAACAAAAATTATTGTTTCATGTATGAGCAACGATATATAATATCTTGTATAATATCTTGTTCGAAAAATCTTTAATTCTTGATTTGTAATAATGTTATGATTTTTTGAATATTATAATAGTTTCATACAAGAAGTACAATATTTTGATGATAATAAATATCATCAAAATATTTTCTTCCGATATTTAAAAACATTGTATTCTCAATTGAATATCTTGTGCTTTCCATTCATAAAAATTATTTTTAAATAATAAAAGTATATTTTTCTTTATTGAATCATAAAAAATGAGATCTTATTTTATTATTACTCATTTTAACAGTAATAACGTTATATTTGTTATACATATTCATGGACGTGCTTACGGAATTATCTCGAAATAAAACTCTATTATGACTCATGGACGGCTGATGGAATCCGAGACCTTTTTTGCGACGATATGGCGCGACGTCCTTGCGTCTGCTGACCGAGTCCTCTCGGCGCCGTGTGAATTAAAAACGCGATTCATCCAATTCGCGGATGGGAAAAGATGTCAAGTGCCTCTCTCTCCGTGCATTTCTCGGCGAGTTCGCACGAATGTGTGTGCGAATTTTAATTCTCGAAGCCAGGCGCAACCCGATACGCCAATTATATTTCATCGCGGCGATATCGTCGTCAAGTGTGCACCGTTAGCTTATTCACTAATTAAGGAACTCATCGTTCCATCCGTAATTGAGAAGTCACGAGCGAACTTGGAGCGTATTAATTTGCGGTGCAAACAGCTCCAATATTGCTGAAAATCCCACGAATATTAACAAACGGTCGAATGTGTCTCATTGTCTTTCGCCTGGAAGACTTTGCACAAAAAGAATTAGTATCCACTTAAAGAGTTAATATTCAAATTAACAACCATTGTTTTATATATAAATAATTTTGTTAGAGAAATTTTTAAGTCTTGAATTCCAAGAATGTTATAATTTTATTTGAATATTATAATGATCTCATATGAGAAGTACAATATAATTATTTTGACGATATCTTCTTCTGGCATAAATATATGGTAGAAATATATTCTCAACCCAATATTTTGTACTTTCAATCGTAAAAATTATTTTTGTATAATAAAAACATATTTGTTTAATGTATCATATAAAATATATTAATGCCAGTAGCTTTTAAGATTTTAATTTTAAGATTTACATGTCAAAAATAAAAATATGTTTAAAATAATAATATTCCTTTTTTCTGTGTAATTTTTGTCGTTCTTCCAGCATCTCAGTTTTATTTTTCAACTGTCGGATTTTAATACAGTTATAATTTTAATGTCGAGCAGAGAAAGAGAGAGACAGAGAGAGAGAGAGAGAGAGAGAGAGAGAGAGAGAGAGAGAGAGAGAGAGA